CAAGTTAACGACATCGTTATTCTAATAACGAAAAATGTCAAGAAAGAGTTCCCGCTATTATAAGTTGGTGGAGGGGATCTTAGAGCTGTGTTTAATCAAATGCTAAGCAATTAAAGCTTGAAGATCCCCTTCCCGACTCATAACAGATAATTTAACGATATCGTTATTATAAAAAAAACATCAGCATCATCATCATACGCTCGTCAGTCCTAAGACTGGTTTAACACTCTCCCCCACTTTTTCATATAATGAGCTAATCTTTGCATTTCCCTAAAACTAGAAGATCCCTAAATTTTTAACTATTTGTAAAAAGTAATCTAATCTAGGTCTACTTCTACTCCTCTTAACTTCTGCTTCTAATATATGTCTCTTACTAGTCCTTCATGTCTAAGAAGGTGTCTTACCTCGCCTATTTCATAGCACCCCCTGTTCTCCTACTTTTTAATACCTCATTTCTAACTTTCTCTATGTATGGTATTCACATTATTCGCCTGTAACACCATATTTATTCCGCCGCTTCTACCGTCCTTGTTTCGCGCCTGTACAACGCGGCGCTCTAGACATACACCTTTAACAATCTTTTTCGAGTTTCTAAATTAACCGTTCGCGAGCACAGAAGTGACTTCTTTTTTTGAAGGCGTCTCTACCCTGCGCTATCCTCTGCTTTATATCCCTACTACTCCCTTCGTCCTGACCTATCTGACTTCCTAGATACCTAGAATCAGTCACTTCTTTTAATTTTTCGCCTCCTATCTTTATATTTCTTCTTTCCCTACATTTTCTTTCCTTGCATACGAATATTTTTGTTTTACTACATTGAAATAAAAATCTGCATCGTGACAAAATCGTACTAATTAGTGTTCCTCCTCACAAGAACATAAGTATACAAATAACATTAAACACAAGAGCTATATTGAAATAATAACTAATATAATTTAGTATAATAAGGAATAAATAATACAACTTAGTACAAATGACCTATCTCAATAGTATCTTAATTACCAATTATTACGTAGATTTTTTGTTATAAGTACTTATTAAATTATTATTACTGATGTTGTTTTTTTCATAGAATTATGCGGCACTGCCGGGTACCGCCACCATTATTCAATCCCCGGCCGAATCCGCTAGGTATCGGATACAAACCGAATACTTGGCCGATCTCTACTCTCAATAATACCTTTCAACCGTCTTTCAACGTGTATGACTATCGATATTTCAGTGTCAAACGAACGTGACGCCAAACGTATAATCTATGATCATTTTTCCTGTAGCGTTCGTCTGTTTCTCATGACGAGGGTGTCGTGAATCTGCTTGCCCGTCCCATTTCATTACATATATCATTTCCGTCTTTCTTTTTGCATTTTGACTGTTATTTCCTGCATTTGCTAGTTCAGGAAACGTTCGCATGACCTATCCTACAAATTTTTAGAGTCAAATGGTATGAGCTTTGAAAGAATGACAATCAATGATAGATATAAAAATATAAATGTAAATATTTATTAATTTGGGAAAAAATGTATACCAAGTATGGTGTACCTTGAAAGTCCTGGTAATGAGGAAGTCAATAATCTTTCAAGAAACAATAGGGATCATACATCCAGAACTAAATGTTGCTGAAAGAGTATAATTCAAAAACATGTTCCGCTCTTTCTTTTTCCAATATCCTTAATAAAACCTTTTCTTTTACGCTAGCCAAGCTATTGACTTAACAATAACGTATATCAAGCCGGTCGGAACAGCGAACAGTTTTCATCAACAGCAGCGGCAGCAAGGGTGTTCTCTGTCTATTGCTATTGGAAAGAGTTCAAACAGTATCTTGACGTTACGCGCTCTCTTCAAGGTCATAAAAACGTTTTGAATTCCGGCGTTTTCAAAGTATTGTATATAATTTTTGAATCATCATCATTATCATAAGGTCGTCAGTCCTAAGACTGGTTGGACACGTACCTCCACTCTTTACTATCCTGAGCCAATATTCGCATTTCCCTAAAACTAGAACATCCCACATCCTTAACTATTTGCGAACAGTAATCTAATCTAGGTCTACCTCTACCACTCTTAACTCCTGTTTCTGCCTCCAACATGACTCTAACTTCATGCCTGAGAAGGTGTCCTACCAATCCATCTCGCCTATTTTTATTGACTTCCATAGAGTCCTCTGTTCTCCAATCCTTTCTAATACCTCTTCATTTCTAACCTTCTCTATCCACGGTATCCTCATCATTCGCCTGTAACAACACATTTCAAACGGCTTTTCCGCCGCGCCCACTGTCCATGTTTCGCACCCGTACAGCGCTACATACACCTTTAACAACATTTTTCGAATTTCTAAATTAACCGTTCGCGAGCATAGAAGTGACTTCTTTTTATTGAAGGCTACTCCACCCTGCGCTATCCTCTGCTTTATATCCTACTACTCCTTCCGTCCTTACTTATCTGACTTCCTAGATACCTAAAATCGGCCACTTCTTCTAATTTTCCGTCTTCTATCATTATATTCGTACTTTCCCTATTTTTTTCCCTTGCATACCAGTATTTTTGTTTTACTTTTATATATTTTCATACAGTACTGTTTTGCCACCTCTTCCATTTTATTTGAAGCTATCTCTAACTCCTCCTTGCTAGATGCCAATACTGCTATATTATCTGCATCTCTAAGCATACTAATATTTTTTCCCTGTATATCTATCCCTACAGTAGTACTGTCTTTAATGATGTTAATCGCGTCTTCGATGTATAGATTAAAAAGTATCGGTGACAGTGTGCATTCCTGTCTGCCTCCCTTCCTAATATCTATTTCTCTACATTGCAGATCCAGCTCTATAACTACCTGTTGCTCTTGATAGAAACTAAGTATCACTCTTCTGTTTCTGTAACTCATTCTTACATTTTTAATAAACAAAATTTATTCACTCAGTAAGATGCTTACAATTAAATTCCAAATAGACCATTTTAGATTCCAGGGTAAATAGCTTGCTATTTTAACATTCGGTTTAACGCAAAATCGTTTTGATTAGAAAAACCTTCTTATAGGTAAATTGTATAAACTGAACTGACTACTAAATATTTGAAGCTGAACAGTTTGTTACATCAGTTAGTTGTACTTAATAAAATATTACCTTTTTTGATCTATACAAAGTTGTCAATATCAGGCTCCAATTGTTTGTGAGAACTAATTACTTGAGTTAGCGAAATATCAAGAGGAAATAAATCTTTAAAAGAAATACAACAATGACTGCATGAATATTCAACAAATTATAACTTACAATTATTAATTAACAGATAATTTTAACAGTCATCCTTCCTTGGGTTTTAAGATTTTTAATATAGCCTCTAATATGTTTTAAAAAATAACTGCGTAAACAAGTAGCACAAGTTTCAAAGAGGGCATTTTTACAGCAAAGTTGTAGGTATATTAGTAACCGCAAACTAAGTTTGCTTGTTCCATTACTTTCAAGAAAATTCCTTCAGAACAATTTAATTGCATTCTTACAATATCATCAACAGCTCAATAAACCAGAAAATTGTAGATTAAAACAACTTAATAACTTAGTTCTCCAGTTGGTCAATGAACTTAACAAAATATTCGTCAGGAAGACGAAAAAAATGTTTTACTTTAGAGAAAACCAACTAAGAACAAAATAATTAATTAAAGAGAAGACTCACCCCTAATTACCACAAAAACTTTTTGAGCGGACACGTATTTTGCCCACTTATTACGTGGGACAGTCTTACCACAGTCTCCTTTTTCTACTTTAAGAGCAAAATCTTCATATTTTTTATTTTATTGTTGCGGATGACTTTATTCCACTGTCGTATACATTTTACAATTCAGATATAATCAAGAGAATAATTCGATTCGCAAAAAGACAATTAAATATGAAAATTAAAAAAAACTGAAATATGAATGTGATAATTTTAAAGTAACTTTGAGAATGATATTACATATTTAAATCAGATAGCGTTCCCATGAATTCTCATATGGTCTACCAATTTCTTTGTTTTAAAATACTTATAGTTGGGACATTCAAAATTCGCATAGTCCGCAATAAAATTGTCGCAATTACTTTCTTCTTTCGACGTACTAAATAGACTAGAGCGGTTGCTGACAGAACCTTCACTCACGACAAACCTTATAGGAAATACCGTAAACATGAAAAAGAGATGTCAGGTAAGAATTGCAGCGGACATTAATAAAAAAAAGGAATAACGCTACACCAATTAATGTGTAATAGAAAGAGATGCAGACAAGCAGAATTTGAGCGTGTTGACAGCATTCATCTTCAAAGGAAGTTCTCTGGAATTTAGAACAGCAAAGACGTTTATTTGAATATATAATTCCAACCAGGCAGTTATTAAAGATCCTGATCTATTGTGTACCTGAGCAACCTCTAACCGCTGTACCGCTTATTATTATTTGGTTATCTCTTTTCACTTAGACTTAGAAAATAACCACAATCCCAAGTATAAACTAAATAGAAAATACGTCCATTCTCATCAGAGGACTCTATGGAAGCCAATAAAAAATAGGCGAAATCTCAGACTTGAAGGACTTATCAGAGACATATTAGAGGCAGAAACAGGTGTTAAAAGGAGTAGAGGTAGATCTAGATAAGATTACCGTTCGGATAATTAAGGATGTGGGATGTTCTTGTTTTAGGGAAATGCGAAGATTAGCTCAGGATAGGAGTGAGTGGAGGTGCGTGTCCAACCAGTCTTAGGACTGACGATCGTATAATGATGATGGTGACTTAGTTAATTAATTATTCTTGATCATTAATCGTTAATGTGTCAATCGTATTGTTATTGAAGTACACAACTTGTATTATATAAAGATCATGAAAGAATTCAATGTCTATTATAATATACAACCAAGACACTCGCATTTAGTAAGTAGAGGTCCAGTTCAGATAGGTAGCTTTATATATGATTAAGTATTTGGAAGAATAGTTTCCTTGAAATATCTACCACACTACAGGTAATAAAAGAGCAATTCGTTTAATTTGAAAAAAAAACTTTATTTCTTTAATATAGTTTTATACGTCATATGGATGTACACCAGTTCAGATATTTAATTTTTCATTTGAAGGAGTTGAAGATAATGTACGTATATTTTTTTTATATTGTATTTATTCGGTCAGTACACAATGTGTTCTTAACAGGAGCATTTGCAACAGTACAGTGTTTCCTGATGTTTTCCCTGAAGTTTATTTGGTGGATCTGTAGCAGACTTGCAGTTGCAGCTTTTTCCTTCATTGCAACAATTGCAATTGCATCTGCATTCACAATTGCTACAGTTTTCACTTCTTTTACAGCTGCATGTACATCTACACTGGCAAGGAGATCCCTCTTTGCATTCGCACTGGTTAGATGATGGGATGTTTTCCATTTTGCAGACTAAAATTAAAAAGCAGTGTTCATAAAAAGAAAGCATTGTCAGAGTGACGGTTGGAAACAGCATGCCATATGCGCTTGGGATATCGTCAAAAGGAAAAAAGACACAGGGCAATGGCCCGCTATTACCTACTTTAAAGTAACAAGAATTTCTAAAATGATTCAATAAAATTACAAAAACGATATTTGGGCATATTATGTTTTGTGTTTACAAAAACCCCCGAATGTGCACGAAAGTAGACGTTTTATTATTTAAGAGTTTGGTAAATTAAAAATAATATTGTAAATATACATACTGTTGCGTCAAATTATTTTTTCCTAATACTTATCAATTTGTAACATTTACTGTTTGTTCTCTAATTAATCTGTTGGAGGTACCCTCATTTTTCTAGCTTTTTATTTTTACCTTTGATTTACTAATTTCTTCAACAACAGTTACATGTATTTCGTCCATACTACTATTAACTCTGTTTAGTGTTTAGGACGTTTGTGTTATCAAAGCCGACATTATTGTCATTTTACGAACAAATCGTTATCATCATCATAGGTCGTCAGTCCTAAGACTGGTTGGACACGCATCTCTACTTCTTGCGAACAGTAATTAATAATTAATCTAGGTCTACCTCTACTCCTTTTAACTCCTGTTTCTACCTCTAATATGTCTCTGACTAAACCTTCATGCCTGAGAACGTGTTCTACTAACCTATCTCGCCTATTTTTTATTGACTTCCATAGAGTCCTCTGTTCTTCTATTCCTTCTAATACCTCTCCATTTCTAACCTTCTAACAACAATCTTTTTCGAATTTCTAAATTAACCGTTCGCGAACATAGAAGTAACTTCTTTTTATTGAAGGCAACTCGACCCTGCGCTATCCTCTGCTTTACATCCCTACTATTCCTTCCGTCCTGACTTATCTGACTTCCTAGATACCTAACACCATCCACTTCTTCTAATTTTTTGTCTCCTATCTTTATATTCGCTCTTTTATTACTTTTTCTTCCCTTGCATACCACTATTTTTATTTTACTTTTGTTTATTGTTATACAGTACCTACTCTTTTGTCAAATCGTTATGGCAAGTACATATTTTATTGTAAAAGTAAGCGAAACACATAAGCAGGTAGGCACTTATAATATAAATCAATGAATACTGCAGTACATTTTCCCTAATAAACACACAATATCTCGCGAGTATACGTAGGTATAACGAAAGCAAAAAAATTTGAAGATTTACTTATTGACAGACGTACATAATGACCAGTGAAAATGATTAATTCTTAAATACATCCGCTTCGTAGATAAAACAAATGTCAACCCATTGTTATAATTAAAAAAGGCAATAACAAGAACAATTTTGTATGAACTGTTTTAATTTCAAATTTTACGGAATAATTAATATATATATTAACTACGATACGATAATTCGGAGAACCAAAGACTGCATTGATGGTAATCAGTGAGGCATTTTAATACCCTTCTTGGAAGTCTCAGACTTCTCTAGAGCGCAAAGACTAACAAAATCAAATTTATCGTTTCAGGAAATTTCAAATTTAACTTTCTGTAAGTGGTAATATAAAGAAAATAATTGACATACGAATGAAAACTACATACAACCGAAATAACTGAAAAATAGATTCAAATTCATAAATGCAGTTGCTGCAAACATTGATGTCAATGTTCGTAATTTAAATTTTCGTTATACAAAATAAAAAAATTATTATAAACGTACAGTAGTATATATACTAACGCATATCTACGTTTTCAACTAGTTACAATCAAATACGATAATAAAATTACACCAAATTAATAAAAAAAGTCTTTATTGCTTACCTTCAGACATTTTCACAACACTTTTTCACTTTTAAATTTCACCGCGATCTGTTGGATTGTCACTGAATATTTTGCGAAATCTTTCGGATTTCTCTGGTATTAATACTAATTAAAACTGTCGTTCGTGTGCAAACCTGCGAGAAAGTTTACTACATTAGTTGATTACATGTTCAAACTACCGGAGTCGTGTGCAAAACCGTTAATTGGTTAAACAAATATTAACTGACGACATATTTTTGTAAACAATTACTTTACTATCTTATCTTTTTTACTGAAGTAAATGCGATGTAAAACAAGTCTGGTAGATACTACACGCGCGCAGTGATGCCGGACTTCGAGAATTTTCTCTAGGTCGAGAGGAAAATATGAAAAATTGCTTTATTTAAAAGAAAGCGGCATTTATGATTATGGCATTATCATTTTTGATTTTGACTATGGTCAATTGAACGTTGAGTTGTTTTAATAGGGAGTTCAACTGATTTACATAATATAAGTAGGTACTCCTGTATTAATTTATTGTTTAAATTGTGTTTGTGGTGTGTTTATCATGACTCGGAAGTTTTTAATACAGTAGAACCTCTATAACGCGAACATCAAGAGAGACTCCAAAAAATTTAAGAGACGCGAAATAAATAAAAATTCTAGTTCAAATAATCGAATTGTAAAGTTTTAAATAAAACATTGCTATGTGCGAGATACAGAGGTCCAATTTAAATTTTCGAGTTATAGAGGAAAAATATGTATCAAAATGGCTCGCAGGGACTTACTGATTATTTCGACTAATAGAGGGTTAATTTTTCAAGTAATAGAGGTTTTGGGGCTTGAAGGGAAGGGAACAAAACATTTTTTCAAGTTGTGGAGGTTTTCGACTTATCGAGGTTCGTCTTAAGGAGGTTGTACTGTATTAGGAAAAATCCCCATAGTATGTTCTGGGGAATTTTAGAGGATTTATTTTGAGTATTTAGGTATTTTCGAACGGTTCCATCTGGCATCACTGCACGCTTAAATCTGAATCATTAATCGGTATGCCGTTATTTTAAACAATACAATGTAAACTTTTAGAAAATAATAAATAATAATAATTAATATTTGGGAAAAAAATGCTTAAGAAGATTTATTGTTATTGTTTTGGTTGCAAATTGAAATAAAAGTGCCTTAATAATGCAACCATAACAACAGGCTACGACCGCGAACGATGGGTAGGTATATTGCATGCACCAAGCGATGTCTCATCTTTTTTGTCTTTACAGTTTTACAAAAAATATTTTGACATCTCTATCATTCAAATAATTTACACAGTGCAGGCTTTAAATCTAGCGAAACCTAGGTCTAAAATTTAAAAATTAAGATGCTTTAAATAATTTTATTGAAAGTATAAGAATTGACAGTATTGTCCACAAAGTAGTCAAGTGCTCCCAAGCTGACGTAATCATAAATTTGTTAGATGCCTTATCTTATAATTATAAATAATTGAAAAATTAATAAAAAATTACTAACTTTTATGCTAGTAATGTATAATTTTTACACCTGATTTATACTATATTTATAACGAAAACTATATTGAATTAAAATAAAATTAGTATGAACAGAGGCGGATTAAATGTCGACAGCGACCTAGGCTACCACCTCATACAAGGTCTGTTCAAAAAGTATCGCTAATTTTGAATTTCCGCGGGTTACGTAAATTCGATTTTTTTGTGGAATTATGTTGGCACTCATGCCTCTCACTTACAACGACAGGTTCTGCCATGTTGACAACTGCTTTGCTTGAACGTGTTTTGGCTCGTCTTCGATTTTAACAAAATTAAGTGCGCGAACGTATTCCGAATGTTGACTGTAACATATGGTGAAGCTATCTTGGACCGAAGCAACGTTTATCGTAGCAAAATTGCTTAATTTCTACCAAAAACAGCATCGCATTAACATTGTTAAGGAGCTGTTGGACTCTGTCCGCGATAACCCAAACTTGCTCCAGAGGGTCATAACTGGTGACGAATCATGGGCATATATGATTATGACGTGGAAACCAAAGCTCAATTACCCCAATGGAATCTGCCGCACGAACCAAGACAGGAAAAACCGCACCTAGTTAGGTGGAATGTGAAGATTTTGCTTACAGTTTTCTTCGATTGAAGGGACGTGGTGTATCATGAGTTCTTGCCACAGGGTGAAACGGTCAACAAGGAATATTACCTGCAAGTTATGCGTAATCCGCACACATCGTTGCTTGTGCGAGAATTTTTGGCCAAAAACATCACATTAATATTGCCACAGCCACCGTTTTCCCCAGATCTGGTACCTGTGACTTTTCTTGTTCCCGAAACTGAAGAGGTCCATGAGAAGACGACGCTACGCTACGACTGAGGAGATAAAGACAGCATCGAAGTAGGAGTTGAACAAGATCACAAAAAATGATCTTTTGAAGTGCTTCATGGATTTGAAAAAACCACTGGAGTGGACAAAATAGATATTCATGAATAAATAAATAATTTTTGAACACAAGACTCGCGATACTTTTTGAACAGACCTCATAAACGCCCCTTTGGCAGTCATATATTTTGCAAAATAATAAGGTATGGGGCGACTTTCGGAAGCCCTACATCTCTATAAAAAGTATGATCTTTTTTAAGCAGGTCCTTCCTTAATTTTTTTATTTTTAAAACTTGCACGCACGTGCACACCTTTCTAACTTTGCGCCCCAGGTATTTACCTAGTTTGTCTTACGAATCCGACACTGAGTATGAAACAACAAATTTTGTTGAAGAAGTCTGAAAAAACATGTACCTATTTTATGAAGAACATCCTCAGGAAGTCGCATTCATTTGTTAATTTACTGATTTTCATAAAAAATATTTTTTTTTAATATTCATATCTCAACTTCTGGATGTCATAGGGTACATATAATAACAAACAAATGTTGCATTTTACTTAAAGTATATTGTATTATTTTCTTTACTTTTGATTATTATAATTTTCCCGGTCTTCTCAGTTTTCACTAGTTAACTTGTAGTGAGCAAGTGAAGGCGAGTTTAATGCCAGAGAACCTCACTCAGATCTTTTGAGATACGATATGGAAACCAATTTTCTGTTCTTAAATTTTATAGAGCTTACAGCTTACTTCTTGCCCAGAAATATGATCGGTGATTATTCAAAACTCCGCTTGTAATTTAACCTGATGTGTTTTCTGAAAATGGTCAAACTCGTCTAGCGATTCACTGGGGACGAAAAATGGGTTGTATACAACAACGTCAAACGCAAGAGGTCATGGAGCAAAAAAGATGAACCGGCTCAAACCATTTCCAAAGCCGATATTCACCAAAAAAAGGTGATGCTGTCTGTTTGGTGGGATTTTAAAGGAATCGTTTTTTTTGAGCTTTTACCGGATAACACAACGATTAATTCGGAAGTCTACTGTCATCAGCTGGACAAACTGAATGATGCACTTCAACAAAAAAGGTCAGAACTAATCAACAGGAAAGGTGTAGTGTTTCACCAAGACAACGCGAGACCTCACACAAGTTTGGTCACTAGTCAAAAGCTTTTACAGCTTGAATGGGATACAATGCTACACCCACCGCATTCTCCAGACCTGGCACCATCGGATTATTATTTGTTCCGGTCACTCCAAAATTTTTTAGACGGTGAAACCTTCACCTCAAATGAGGAGGTCAAAAACCTCCTCGATCAGTTTTTTGCCAGCAAAGACCAAAAATTTTATGAGCGTGGAATTATGCTACTACCAGAAAGATGGCAAAAGGTGTTGGACCAGAACGGTCAATATATAATTTAATAAAGTATTTGTTTATTATACGAAAACTGTCTTTCATTTCTACAAAAAAAAACGAAATGACTTTCCGAACAACCCTATATTTACCTTACCCTCCAACAATTAGAACATTGAGGCTAAAAGTTTCTTTGATGGTCAGTGTGATGTCACGTTTGTTATGATTAACTGTTTTATCTGTAATTGACTCTATCTCAATAAAGCTTGGCTATGTGGCTTCGTAATACATTTTGTGGTTTGTATTTATAGTACGAAACAGAACTTTCCCCAAACAAAAAGCTAACAATATGTCTGGAGGGCAACTTAGTAATTTCAATACCTACGTACATACATACATACATACATACATTGATTGACGTGAATGAAACACATAAAGGTCAGAATGTTGGAAAGTGGTAATTAACAACCTAATGGTCGTGCCGGATGGTGGTAATGGGTTACGTGGAGAACTACTTAGTTTGAATTAGCTCGATAACACTCTCCGATTGGTTCAAATTAAGCAGATTTCAGGTAAACTATTAAATATTATTGCATAATGTGTTGAATGCAAATATGGTAGAAACCCGATTATCCGGTCCTCAGTTTTACGGATTCGCGATTATCCGGACTAGTAACCGCGACCAATTATATGTATCTACAAGTCGAATTTATGCAAGCATGAACGTGTGGGAACTGGCATTACCCCGCCCACGCCCCGTGGGATCGCTGCTCCGCGCGTTTCGTTATTGCCAAATATGCCAGGATTGTGATGATGATGATATGAAAGAGTGACTCACTTGTGACAGTAATGATTAAGGCTTTCAGATTATGTCGGATGACGAAATCGTAGAGAACATATTGCAGACAAATGAACAGCAGAAAATGCAAGAAGATGAAACAGAAGACAATCTAGACTTGGAAAATAATGCAGGACCATCTCCTGATGAAGCACTTCATACCATGCAAACAGCTCTCATGTGGTTTGAAAAACAAATAGAGAGCAATACTGTGAATTTGCTACAACTGAAACGAATTCGTGTGTAATGTTCGTGGGTTTAACAAAATTAACTTCTAAGACTGATAACGACAAAAACTATCCATTTACATTAATTATTAAGAAACTTAAAACACTATTAAATTATTACTAAACTTAGGTGATGAATTATTCTATTTATTTACACTGCTGTTCATATATCACTATTCACTGCGCTATTTATTTCACTGCTATCACTGTCAATTTATTTCTACTTTTCACTTCTGCAACGGTCAATTTATTTCTACACTCCTCTCGGCGATCGTCTCTTCCTTTAAATACTCTTTTGTTTACTTTCGGGAACCTTCTGGAAACATCCGGATAGTTTATTTTTTCTGTGAACTGTTCAACTGCTTTTCCAGAACGCAGGTACGACA